CTATCAAGACATGAGTCCATCTGGCCCCCTAAAAAATATTTACAACATTAGTGATTATATTCCCCAAACTGCCTTTTCTATCCCTGAGGCTGTATTGTGGTTACCAATTTGTATAGGCGACATCTATCTTGAAGGTGTTTTGCGGGGGCAAAGGGCTGGAAAGGAGGCATGCAGGGGCTGCAGATAGAGGGCGGAGGTGGCAGGTCGGTTGTATTATGGCCGTTTCTGGCTGGTAAGCCAGGCCTAAGACTTCACCACGTGTGCGGTCAGGCAAGAAACAACCGGCCTGAGCCAGGAAAACAAACTGGGTTCAAGAGGCAGTCCAGAGGCCCAAGAGCCCACGGATTCCCCTGGCCTTGGGAGCCACACCAGCCCTGGCACTTGTGTCTCCCCTGCAGATGCTGGGTGCGGAGCCCTGAGGTGCATAGCATCCTGGTCATGGGCTATGGTGGCCTCACATCCCTTTTCAACCTGGTGGTGCTGGCCTGGGTGCTGTGGACACTGCACAGGCTGAAGGCGCGGGAGAAGGCGTCAGGCCTCCAGGCCTGTCGGGACACCGTCACCGTGCTGGGCCTCACCGTGCTGCTGGGCACCACCTGGGCCTTGGCCTTTTTCTCCTTCGGTGTCTTCCTGCTGCCTCAGCTCTTCCTCTTCACCATCTTCAACTCGCTCTACGGTGGGTCCTGTGCGTGGTCTAGAGGAAGCCCCCCGGGGTGTGTGTGTGTTGTGCACAGCTGGTAGATGTTTACTGCTGAAGGGCTTCCAGTCCAGGGGGTGACTTGAGGGCTGAAATCCAGCCCTCTGACAAGCTGGTTAGGGGCCACATCCTCCCAGAAGAAGAGGTGCCACCTTTGTGGTCTGCACAAAGGCACCCTCTGGGGTAGCGGTGGCCAGGTCCTCCTGCTCCTTTGCTCTGCCCTTCTGGCCTCTAACAGTAAGGGATGCTGAAAATTACTCCTGGGCCTCAGGGAGGCCCAACTCACCCCATCCAAAGAGGTCCCTGTTTTCTGGGAGAGGCCCCATGCTGCTCCTGTGATGCTCCCACTGACCAGCCTTTTGCTTGCAGGTTTCTTCCTCTTCCTGTGGTTCTGCTCCCAGAGGTGCCGCTCAGAGGCAGAGGCGGAGGCAAAGATGGAGGCATTCAGCTCCTCCCAGATGATGCAATAGTCTGAACCTCCTGGCCCGGAACCCCCAGCCTCTCTGGCTGCCTGCCGACGAGGCGCTGACTTCCACCAGAGAAGGCGGCAGGCCAGCTGCTGGATACCAGAGGCCACTGTGCCTTCCAAGGAGGCTCTCCACCTCCATGGCTTCTCTGGGCCCAGAGAAGAGGGTTTTGCGTGGCCTCCCCTGGCATTGTGCTCTGGGCAGGTCCAACCCCACGACAGGGGTGGCGAACTTCGCTCAGTCTCTGGGCCTAGCTGGCCAGCCTGGCCTATGGGCAGAGCCCTGGTCTGGGAGTCAGGAGACCACGTTTCAAGGCCTGGCTCTGAGTCCTACTGTATGACCTTGGCCTGTCATTTCTCAGTGACCCTCACATTTTCGACGTTGGCCAGATGGCTCCGGTCCTGCCTAGCCCAAGAGCTTTGTGAAGCTTGAATAAGACCAGGGAGGAAGAGAGTTAATACCCATTAACTCTTCATTAACTCCACCTGCCTGCTGGGTCCTGCTACCTTCCTCCTGGTCACATCCTGGCCCAGGGCCCAGTGCCCAGTGCCCAGTGCTTAGAGACCTACCCAGTGTTGGAGACCTTACCAGCCTCTGCCTGAGACCTCTTCTCTTTTGACAACCCCCCCACCACAAAATTATGACTCCAACTCCAAGGCCACCCTTTGTGACGATTGGGAGGTCTATTCCTTCCTTCAGTGAAGGAAAGCTTTTCCCTCCTTCAGTGCTCTCAAGACTCCTTAGGTCATTTGGACCAGTGGCTGGGGCCATAGGGCTTTCAGGGGTAGGGCGGAGCACCTCTTTTTCCTTCATTTGAGCCAGCTCAGGCTCAGTGACCCAGCTATTTGATGCTGTGTAGGATTGAATTTTCCTTGGTAGAAGTGAGAGTGTGGGTTCTAAACCCAAGCTCAGGCCACAGTTGCAGAGCATCACCATTGATTGCCCTTGCATGACCTGTTAGATTAGACCAAGTGGGAGGCTCATGAAGCTAGAGCCTTTCCCAGAATGGACACCAGGGGGCGCTGTTGGTCTGTGCTCAGAGGCTGTTGGCTCCAAAACTGTGTCTGGAAATGCTGCGGTCACTCGACTGCAGACATCGTATAACAGATGGAGAGGCCCTGCCTCCAAGACTGCGCCTGCTGAGTGACCAGCAGGAGGAATGCCAGCACTGTTTTTACGGCCATTTCTCTTTTCCCAGCACAGTTTCCTGCCCTGGCTTTTGGGGTCTTGCGCCCTGGGCATACCTGGCACTAGGGCAGTGGGCTGGGATAGGCTCTCAGGGCCCTGCTCCAGGCCATCAGACAGATTTTAATGACTTTGAACGATACAGAGAGGAAATTGGGCCGGATCCCTTTTGTTATGCCCTCTGTTCACTTCTTGATGCAAATAGCCCTTCACTAGGTGGTGAGTGGTACAGATTCTGGAGCCAGAGTGCCTGGGCTCCAATGCCAGCTCTGCCACTTGCTAGCTATGTGACTGTGGACAAGCCACTCAACCTCTCTGTGCCTTAGTTTTTCCATCTGTAAATAGGGGTAATAGAATATTTATTTTGAAGGTTAAACAAAATAATCCATATAAAGAGGCTTAGCACAGTAAGTGCTCAATCAATGGTCATTAGTGTTATCATTAGTATTTTTGCTATTATTATTAACAGTCTCAGAGACCCACTCATCTAAGCCCCAGGCCCAGGTCTGCTCAACTTCACAAACCCAGCTCCTCCCTGGGCTCATCCTCACTTGGCCACCTCCTCTCCCACTTTCCTTAGAGCGGCCTCTGCTCCAGCCTCGCCGGACTTTTGCCACTTTAAGAATATTCCCTACACAGTCAGCCTCCATGCTCTTGCCACATGTCCCCCCTCCTCTCAATTCCCCAATCGTCTGATCTATTTAAATTCCTGATAGCTCATTGATGACATCTTCCATGAAAGCTCTCCAATTGCCCCACAGAGAAAGTGGCTTTCCCACTCCAACTCCAGGCAGAGTGTCCCCGCATCACTATCAAGGTGATGTGAGCCCCTAGCCAATCCCGCTGGTTTACCCCAGCCTTGACTTTAGCCAGGCTTCCCAGGCCTTGGGGTGGGCCCTCATGCTAATGAGGGTGCTAAGGGATCATGGAAATCTCTAGCCTCTGTCTTGGGCAGCTCCGGGGAATGATGACTTAGGCTGGGTCGGCAGCTCAGTGAAGCAGAGCCTTGCCTGGGACCTATTTTCTCACCCCCAGCCCAGGCCTGACCTCTTAGACCCTATCAAGCCCAGGGCTACATCCATCCAAGGGAGGATGTGGCCATGGTGACATGGAATGGGTCTGGTGGTTCCAAGAAACAGTCCCAGGCATGTAGCATTAAGCCCCATTGGGGTCCAGGCTCTGGGCTGGGACAACTTCCTGGAAATACCCCACCCCGATGTGGGGGCTGGGCCTCCTTGCCCCTCCCTCGCTCCCAGCGGGGTCCTGGCCTAGCCCCAGTGGGGCACTGGACCCAGCTCTCAGGGGGGCGCCCGCACTAGTGGAAAGATGGAATGGTGGTATCTGGGAGCCCCTGCTCAGGGCCAGGGACTCCAGGGAGGCACTTGCTGAAGGATGACAAGTAGAAACCAGAGGGAACACGCACTAGAAGTTTCTATGATGTTTTGATGCTATTATTTCAGAAAGGCAAAGTCACCACCAGAACTCCCAAGGGGTCTGCTTTGTGGTGCTTCGCGTCCATTACCCTGGCCCAGGCCCAGCCTCCATCCTCTGCAGAGCCTCCTCGCAGGCCTCGCTGCCTCCCCACTCCCAGTCCAAGCTTCATTCAGAAGCCAGAGGGAATTTTCCATCTTGCAGTCTGAACAGGTCCTGCTCTGCTAAAAAACCTTTCCACATCCTCCCCTCTGCATTGCTGAATTCCCCACAGGAGCTCCAAAGGCCCTGGGGGGTCCGGCCTGTGTCCATTTCTGCAGCCCATCTCCCACCACACCTCCCTTATCTCCCTCCATCCTGCCACACTGAACTACTTTCAGTTCCCTGAACAAGTTCTTTCTTACCTCCAGGCCTTGGCACAAGGTGTACTCTTTGTCTGGAACACTGTTCTTCAGCCCTTTCGTTTGTGGAAAGGTGACAACACAACCTTAAGATCTCAGCTTTGCACCTTTTTTTGCACCCCTGCCCCCTGAGCCTGGACTAGGAGGCTGCCCCTGACCTCCAAAATCTAGATTGGAGCCTTCTCTGGGATCCACCACCCCTGCCCTTCCCCCATGACTGTAGTTATTTCTCTGTATTCCGGCTGTCTGCATCCCTGTCTGTCTCAGCTGCCAGACTGAAAGCATTTTGGGGCAGATACTATGCCTCCTTTGTTCATTCATTCATTTATCCATCACATAAGCACTCATCATATTCCAGGAACTGCTCTAGTTGCTGAGGGTATGTAAATGAACAAGTCTTCTTATTCTGGTGTGGGGAGGGTGTCATACAAGCAATTTAACAAATAAATATGATATAATGGGTGGTGACCTGTACTATGAAGACAAATAGAGGAGGGTGAGAAGTGGTCAGCTGAGGAGAACTGGAGAAGAGCCCAGGGGTGCTGGACTTGGCAGAGCAGGAGCGGGTCACAGAGCTGGCCTGAACAGGCTGGTTGCCTGGAGGGAGGGCTGGTCCCAAGGCCAGAGTCCCATAGAGACTTTGCCGTGCTGTGATAGTGATCTCTGGGAGAGCTAGGGACCGGGAAGATGGAAAGTTGTGCCTGTTCTGAGAAAAAAACTCTTGAGGGGGCTGAGGTGGCAGGAGCAGAAAGAAGTAAAATCAACGAGGAGGAAAACTTTCCTATGTTATGCCAGGAGGACCCCCACAGAGGAAGATCGATTGATAAGCATNACCACCATCACCTCCACGACCACTTTCACTACATCCCCACCACCACCTCCATCATCACCACCATCTTCACCGCTATCTTTGGCACCACAATCATTGTTATCTCTACCACCATCCTAGCCCCTCCCTTTATTATCTGTTTCCTCATCAGTTCCCCAACCCTGTCTCCCATTAGCTCCCAGTCACCACTTCCTCAGTGTGACAACTACTGCTGCCACTACCATCCCACCCTAGAACCCTCACTTACATCACTTTGGAAAGCAACCTTCTCTAAGACTCCTAGCTTGCTCTGAAGCTGGCTCACAGGAGCTGGGGGCTCAGAACAGTTTCTTTTCCTAAACCCCCTTGTCCAGTGGAGTTCCATTTTAGCAGCCCCAGGGACCCATGTCCAGCCTGTCCCTGGGGTCTCTGGGCAGATGCTGAGCCTCTCACTCCTCAGGGGTCCCGGCCTTCCTGGTGCTGCTCCTCCTGGCCATCAAGAGCTCAGCCTACGGTCGCCGTGCAATCCCAGTCTTCAACAGCCAGGAAAACAGCACGGGCTTCCAGAACGTGTCTATGTGAGTGCATGCAGGGCTGCAGCAGGTTCCCTGGCTCTGGCAGAAGGGCCACGTGGCCCTGGGGCTCTGAATAGGATGTCCTTTCAGCGGGGCACTGGCTGTGGGGCAGGGAGTGGGCTGTGCTTAGACAGGGGATGTTTTCCAGGGGGCCTTGCCACACACCCTCTGCTGGACCCCCAAGGTCTCCTGCGGAACAGGCTGCAGTTCCAGGCTGGCTAACTCTAGGAAGCTGTGGCATGGACTCCAGCACCTGCTCACAGGCCCCCACGGCCTCTGCTTCCCGGCAACGCACAGCTGCCGGCCCAGCTCTGCGCCAGCTCTCATGCCCTGCGGTGGCGCTCAGCCTGAGCCTGGGTTCCTCCCTTCCCGCCATCTTGTTTCGTTCATGCAGGCTCCAGTTCCTCCTGCTCACATCTGGCATGGCACTGCCAGCCCTCAATCTCTCCTCATCAGAGAAGAGAGTTCTCTGGGGGCTGGGACAGCCCAGGGACTAGGCTCAGCATGTACAGGGGGAGGGTACAAGGAGAGTCTGGGGGACAGGCTCTGCTGCCTCTTCCTGTGCCTTAGGACATTAACTTTTTTCTTGTTATGAAAAGTGTCTAACAGCCAACTCAGAGAGAATAGCTCCATAAACCTCTGTGGACCGATCACCAGCAGTTGGCCACCTGGCCTCTTTCCCTTGCTTGAGTGAACAAGCTGACGACCACTGAGGTCTGACTCTGTGGCAGGCCTTATGTATTAGACTGTTTAATCCTCACGAAGACGTAGGTCCTACTGTCAGCCCTTGTTTAGTTAGGGAAACTGAGGCACAGCAGTTTAAGACCCCTGCCCAAGGAGACCCAGCTGGTCAATGGCAGAGCTGGGACTTGGTCGCAGGCAGGCTGGCTCCAGAGCCTGGCCCCCAAGCACTGTCCCTCTTGGCCTCCCGGAAGTGAGGGCTCTGGGCACAGAGCGGGCTCAAGATGGGGTTAATTCCTCTCACTGTGAGCGTCAGGTTGGTTTCTTAGAGAACATATGACTTAGGACCCTTTAAACATGTATTTTATTATATAATAAGCAATGTGAACAAAAGAACTAAAGTGACCCTTCCATGGGACAGGAAAAGCTCCCACCCTAAGAACTAGCCTCTCTCAAGTTTTTCTCACCTCTCTCTCCCCTCTGACTATATACCACACCCACCATCCATCGACACTTAAGTTGCTTCCATATCTTGGTTATTGTAAATAATGCTGCAATGAACGTGGAGGTGCACGTGTCTTTGCCAGTTAGTGTTCTGGTGGGTTTTGTTTTTGTTTTTGTTTTTGTTTTTTTTTGATAAATACCCAGAAGTGGAATTGCTGGATCATATGGTAGTTCTATTTTTACATTTTTGAGGAACCTCCATACTGTTTCCTTAGTGGCTGCACCTATCTATATTCCCACCAATAGTACACAAGGGTTCCTTTTTCTCCACATCCTGGCGAACACTTGTTATTTCTTGTCTTTTTGATAGTAGCCATTCCGACAGGTCTGAGGTGACATACATATGTATTCCTTAACACAAATAGCAATTAAAAAAGCCCTTGAACATAACTCCAATGTCCACTGACAGGACACTGGATTAATCAATGTGGTAGAGCCAGCCCTGCTAGACAATGGCCTGGCAATGAACAAGAATGACGCATGACCACACTCATGAACTTGGGTGAAGCCCAAAAATGATGTTCAAGGACCCTTGTGAGTATAGTGGCAGGAGCCCGAACAGGGGCACAGGCTCTGGGCTCAGACCACAGGGCTTCAAGCCCCACCTTTGACTCTTACTAGTGTGTATTTCTAAGCCAGAGCCTCAGTTTCTTCATCTGTAGGTTGGGAATAATTACATACCTGCCTCAGAGGGCCATCATGAGGATTGAATGAGCTAATCCATGGAAAGCATGTGACATGGTGTCTGGCTGGGTAAAAGGCGACACCTATC